TCAGAAGATCCCAGAAGATCATGATGGCAAAAAAGGGGACATTAAACTGACAAAAAAATCCCCCTTTGGGTCTTTAAGCCAGTGGGTAACATCTGCATCTTATATGTTATGGCTGGAGAACTTAAAGCTTACAAACAACTTCAGAAATTCAATGAATTCTGTCTAAGTTTTCCCAGGTAAATCTTCATAATTTATTAGTGATATAAAATACTAGAGGATGAGGTCCTAAAAAGGAATTATGTGGTGTGATAAAGCTACAGTACAGCCAAGGGATTTTGGTTAAGTTATCTTATCCAAATGACTGATACCTACTGCTAGGAAGATTGTCTGGGGTAAAATAAAGCCCAGCCACTGTCCTGCAGTAGGAAGTATAAAAGAGAGAAATGTTGTCTGAAGGCTTCAGTTAAAAATTTAAAATGTCAAATGATGCATGAAAGCAGGAAGCTTGTTACAGGGGGAAAAAAAAAAGTTGCAGAAATTATTCATAATGATCTAATTTTCTTTGAATTAGTTGTAGCAAGCTTGCCAAAGGAACAACCAGAGGAAATACAAAGTAATGTCTCATTTGTTATCTTGCAACTAATAGAAGAAAAAGAAGATTCTTGGAAAATGTGATGTAAAAAGTCACAATTAAGGTTAATGAGGAGAAGAAATTCCCAGCTGTTATAATGGATTATGATTAACACCTGCTATGCAGTATTGCTGCCTCAGAGGATTGGGGTGGTCCATGTTCTAACTGAATAAACTGACCTGAATGTGTTGAGATTGACCAAAAGCATGGACTGGCTTCTCAGTGCTCCAGTGAAAAGGGGAGATTCTATCATTCATAAGAAATATTAGAATTTTTTTTTCTTTTTAGAGAGAAAATTTTGGCTCATTGGGAAACTAATGGCTCAAAAGACCCCAAGCTGGGATTACTGGTATGTTCTGTATTACTGCAAGACTACAGATTTCGAGGTAACTGAAGGAAGTATGTGAGTCTTAGAAAAGCTGGGAAAGGTAACTTTTAAATGGAATGGTTTCTCAGTTTTACCTGTGGCACAGAGAGCACACTGCTGCAATTAATGTTATCATTGTTTGTGCCATGTTCTAATGACATAAGAGTATTTTGAATTTCTCTTTGATTGTCTTTTGTCATTTTAATGAGTTCTGTTATGTGTAGTAGAACAACCATTAAGGCTTTTTAATGGTCACTGACATGCAATACTTCACTTTGAAAAGCCCAGTACAGTTGCTTCCTGAAAGGCATTAAATAAACAAAGCTGCAAACTGATGGCTTCTATTCATCTCACAGTGAAATACCATACTTGGGCCTGATGAAGTTTCCTTCAGCACTACTGTCACTGTATTTTAAAATTTGATTTTGAGAAAGCATCCTGACATATAAAAAGCTAGTTGCAGTTCTTTGTTTTCCTTAACTAAAACTTGTGAAAAAAGGGCATTAGAAACTGTTCTGTGTATAGTGAAGTGGAAAGCCCTGAGGAATACTGAGTGTCACTAGGAAAAGAAGAAAACGGGCAAAGTTTGTACAACTGAGGACTTTATGGGATTACAGTCTGGAGGTGAAACCACGCTGTTGTTTTTTCTTGCCTAGGGAATTCAAATACAATGAGAGACCAGCTGTGTTTCAAGATAAATCTTTAGTAAATTATTAGGTTTAGAAATCTGAAGGAACTGTGGAGACATCCCAGTAGAGTATAAAGCCATTTTTGTTCCCTATGAAAATCAGATTTTGAAGGAATAGGATGAAAGATTCAATCCTTTTCTTAGGTGACATAGCATTAGAGTCAGAGTTAGTAGGAACTCTGTCATGATCCGTTCCTGTTGGACATAGGTTTTTACAAAGGCACTCTAATAATTTCTTGAGGATGAAGGCATTTACCTCAATTCTTTTATTCTGGTCATGAGAACATTTTTTAAAGGTTATGTCTCACACTTTAGATACCTCCTGATATTTCTTCATCTGCCTTCCTCCCTATTCACCATCTGCCTGAGATTTTACCAAAGTCAGTCACCATTCACCTCTGAAAAATCTGATTCAGACTCACAAGGAAGAGAACCAGTATAAGATATTCGTTTGTACGTTAAAGTTAAAATAAACTTCTTTAGCCTTTGGTATTTCCCAAGAAATTTCCAAGAAAACTGCCTGATTTCTGTTTATGTTGTAATTTCTTTCTTTTTTTCCTCCTATATATTTTAACCTGTTAGAGATAGCGAGCTGCTTATGCCGCAGATAAGTCAGTCGTTAAAACAGATGTTTCATTCTTTATTGTATTGCCCCATCTTCTCTCCTATTTTTACAGAGCCAATTGATAGCTGGTTGGTTTGACTTGACCAAGAAAATACCACATATAGTCATGTAAAAGAGGGTGAAGTTTTGAAAAATATTTCTTTTTGTCTTTATTTAAGGTTTTGATTATTGGCTTAATTAGGCCATTTGATAAGGAAAGGTGAATTCTCCAGCATTTCCATGTTTTTAAGGAAAACATTTAGAAGGAAACAGTTTCAAGATGCTGATTTGAATGTATTATTGCAAAACACATAACTTGCTCATTTTTGGCCTTCTTTTCCTCCTTCCATGTGTGTGAGTAAAATTCCATAGAGTTCATAGTGGCAAAGTTTGTTTCTACTCTGCCTCTAGAGAAGGTATAACTCTTCTGCAGAAGTCCCATTTTAAACATGGCTTGATGTCATGTTGATTAGTCTCCTGATGCTGTACAGAAATTCCAGTATGTGATGCCATTTCTATTGCTAGTAAGGTGTGCCTTAATATGTATAAGCTGCAAGTGAAGGACACTTTGGTTGAAAACTAATGAAATTTGTGTTTCTTGCTTTGATTTCATCCATTCATTCTGAGCAACAAATTCGTTCTCACATGCTTAATCCTCCTGCCAATTTACCTTGGCTCAGAGACTCAGGATGGGAATTTCCAGAGTCTTCTGAAAGCTGCCTTTGGGGCCTGTTTAGGTGAAGGCATGAATGATTTCACTGCAGTTCTGGGAAGTACTCTTTGAAATTTTACTGTTCAACTTCAGAATTCCAGACAAATCTCCTTTTTTTTATTGAGTTGAATTCTGCTACTCAAAAAGAAGTGATGCAATGGGTTCACAGTGAGTTGGAATAATTTTTTTCCATTCTCCTTTTTGCTCTTGTTCCTGTAGTGGATGTTTAATTTTTCCCATCTTTCCAATACTACAAGGAAGAGATTGGCAGCTCAGTCACCTTTGAGTATAACTGTGATGAAAGCAAATCTTATGATATTGGAATTGTTAATAATTACAGGTAGGCTAATCTTAGGTTGCTTTATGATCATATTGTTCCTCCATATTTGTTCCATATTATTCCTATGAGAAATGCAACAAAATATTAATAGCTTCATTTTGTTGTGGTGCTGCCCACATTAAGCTGGGAAAGGATTTATGTCAGAGAAGGAGGTTCACTAGGATGACAGAGCACTTAGTTTGGGTTTAGTGGGCAGTAGAAGCACAATAACTGTGACGCAGCTGCCTAAACAAATGAGTTGACTAACAATTGTACATGTAATTTACAGACTTGGAACAGGTAGTGATGTGATTATCTAGTGCTATGTGTCTTAAGAGAGGTAATTTGCAGCATGCTTTTGCCCTAGGCAGGGTACATGAAGGTCATAACCTACTGGGCAGTAATTTTCTTTGTTAATGCAAATGTCCTTTACCTTGCTTTATAAAATAGGTGATACTTCTGGAAACATTCACTAATCCTCTGGTGTGATGGGAGGTAATATTGTTGTTCCAGTGTAGCCACTTGTGTTCCTATGATCTTCTGCACAGGCATGTCTAGTATTCCTACCTAGAGGCAGAAGTACTGAAAAACGGAACAGATCTTTGGCATGTGTATGTGCGTGTGACATTAGGTAAGAGAAAATCATATTCAATGCTTAACATTGTTTTAAGGAAAACTTTAAGAGGTAGGACCAGTTTACTTCATCCAAGCTATGTAATAAACACTTCTTTTGTTGATGTTTTGTGGTGGTAAGTACTTTATTTCTTCTGTGATACCTCTATGGGTGATTAATCTTTATATCAATGTGTTTATGAATGTACAGATCCGTTTGTCTGTAAGTCCCCTGGAAGATGACAACCCGTGTGCTCACATTTATGTTCTTTCTCTTGCAGTTTACTGGAGATTCATCTGCCCAGAGTGCTAAAGATTGACTGTTGGGAGTAACCTAACAATAAGAGAGTACCAGGCAGTGTATTTGATGAGATTGAGACTTCCTTCCTGGTAAGTGGACAGCTGAATGATTCAGCCATTTATCAAATGAAGACAGAGAAATGGAGGTGCCTGGGGGAAAGAATTACTTATTATGGATAGCAGTTGGTACGACAGGGGTATGAATCATGAAGAAAGCAGTTAGTTTAGAAAGAGCTGAAAGAGGGCTCTGCAACATTTCAGAAGTACCAGAGGACAGGTGACTGCCTTGAATCTTAGAAATACAGTTATCGTGATTTCCAACTGGTCAAAAGTGATTCCTGTCTTCAAAGTTCTTTCCCACAAGAAGATCAAAGCTACAAACTCTGCTACAATAGGAAAGATTTCTACCACCTAGAATTTAGTATTTTTTTTTAAGTATGTAAGACACTTGGTCAGCTCCATGATTTAGAGAATGAAATTAACACTGTTTTGGTTGAAATTTAGATTGAAATCTTTGGTATTTGGTAAAGGAACTGCAGTCATTACCATAATGACCCCAGTAGTGTCAGTGTCAGAGGTAATAAATGAAGTAAAAAAACATGTTGTCCTTGGATAGAGGAACCAAGCACCAACTTTAGCTTCTGTAAGAAGACTGAAGAAAATTTTTAATACCCTTATACTACCATTGTACAAAAGGGGGAAAAGGCAAGGAAGAAATAAATATTCTAATTTTTGACTTTGAGTTCTTTGGTAGAACAAGTAACTGGGTTTACCTGAAAACCACAGTAGAAATAAATATATTAAGAGATAGCCATGAGTATTGTAAATTATGTTCTTTTTCCAGTTTATTGTTGATGATAATCTAATTTCTCTGAGAATGTTAATGGAAGAATCTTGTTTCCCAACTTGTGTCTTTTGGTCAGTGTTTGCAGTCCCTCTGTATAACCTTTTCAAAACTCTGTATAAATTCTGTAAAACTTTTTTCTTCATATTCTTCACATTCTTTGCATTTTGCTGATGTTGTGGAATTCAACTGAAAGACAAAATGCAATAGTAAAGCAGGATACTGGTCTATTGGTTCTGATAGAGAATTAAGTTGTTTGTCCTGTTTATATGGATAATTCCAATGCAGATAGTGGCTACAGAAAACACTGGTGGTACTTCTGGTCTGTGCAGTTCTTGGCTTACTTTCTGAATAGGATCAGCTTTCAAAGATACATCACTTCAGTGAGAGATGCAAATGGTTCCTTTGAAAATTAGGACACTTCTCTACATGTGTCTAACCATACCTGACTTTAGGAACTGAAGTTACAAACTGTTAATTATACATTCAGACGTCCTGACATGTTTATGCATGCACAAAAGTATTTGCTTTGATGGGAATCCTGAAAGTTTTTTTCTAAAAAACCACTGAACTCAGCTTTTTCATTGTTACCTCTACAGGCTGCTGGATCTCATTTGTTTTCATCTGCACCATCTCACATTTTATAAAACAGAAAAGGTATTTCTGCTACTGAAGAAACATTTTTCATTTACCTTTTCCCCACAGACTCTTGGTGCTACTTACCTTTTTATTTTCTAAGCTTGCATTTCCATTTTTCCATATGTTCACTACATCCTGTGTTTCGCTACAATTTTTGATACGACATTCTTGAATAATCACTTCTGTCTCTAAGAAAAAGCATCTCATTACAGGTTCTTGGCATTCTTCCTGAAAAAAAAATGCAATTGTAATAGTTTTATGAATAAAAAGGAATAAATGAATGTAGGGCATAATTTATGATATAATTTATGATATAAGTAAGATACCATTTAAGATACAATCAGCCTGGAAGTGGCTGAGTTTTACTTACTAGACATCTTTTCTTATTATTCAAATACTTTTAAATATCAGCAGAGATGGGCTGTGAGACCTAAACACAAAAAGGCCAGCCAGTTTGTGTAGATTAGTGAAATGTAGTGTTTTAGTGAATGATATAGGAAAATAATTAATTAGGATAGAAATTTGGGATATAATTAAACATAGTGGAATCAAATTAGTATTATTCTTAAGAATTTTAACACTTTTTCATTCAGAGATCTGAATTCAGAATGGGTAGGGGAGAAGAGGAACCAGATATTACCTGTATTTAACGAATTAAAGAAAAAGAGGCAGAGGTACTAATTTCTCCATCAAGTCAACAATAAAGCTAAGAATAAGTCCCAGGTTGTTTGTCTGACTTCCATATCACACTGTCCGAGTGTAAGAAAATCTTCCTGACATTACTAGGTATTAAATCAGCCATTTTAATGAATTAACCTCTCTAGCTTGCTTCAGTTAAGAGAATGTGTGTGCAGGTGTGGACATGTGTGTTTTGTGAGCTTTTTCCAAGTCATGTACAGACACATCAGGTTCTGTGCTTTCTCGGGCTTGCCAGTTCCACTGAAGACATCAGTATTGCTGCACTCTGCAAGCACTCTGACACTGTTCTGTGCTGAGGTAGTCAGTCCACCATTTCTAGGATATCCTCCCTCATTATGGAAAAAAAGTCTTGTCTAGGATATCTGGGTTGTCTGTGTTTGTGACAGTCTGCGTGTGAATGTTTATGTTGTCAGGAAAGCAATGTCTCAGGAGCAGGGTACTACCACAGCAATGAATGCAGACAATTCCTCCAGGGCTATGCCAAAGGTGACTGCTAGGAGTGGAGGATTGGTTGGCTTCATTTTCTTGGGATTCATGTGTCCCATGGAGCACAGGCTGAACTCCACAGCAATAGATTGTGAAAAACTCTCTTCAGCTATGAATTTATGGATACTGCACTTTTTTGGGTCATTTTTTCCCCCTTCTTTTAAATTGCAAATGAATACCAATATTATTTTAGCAATGTTTGCTCGGAGAAAATAGTTTTGGATCGGAGAATCACTGAACGATATGGGGTGGAAGAGACCTTAAAGATGCTCTAGTTCCAACCCCACTGCTGTGCACAGAGATTCCTTATTGTAGACTAGGTTTGTCAAAGCCCCATCCAACATGGCCTTTCAATTATTTAATTTTAATAGCAGGTGATTCAATAAAAATAATCAATACCTGCTTACATAATTTATCATAAGTAATTTAATTATCAGAACTGTTTATTCCAAGGTGAATTATTTGATTTTAGAAACTTTTGGCAAATTAGACCAAGACTACTTTAGGAGAAAGTTGCTAGCAAAGAAATGGAGCCACCATATTAGACCAGTTGTGATCAAAGTTTACTTACATCCTCATCTGTGTTTGCAGTATATAAACTGACATCAATGTCCTAAAAGAAAACAAGAGTTGGAATTAGGAGCATCAGCTAACAGATTTAGAAATAATAAAGCTTACTCTTCAATATATGGATTAGCCACCAAGTTCAAAGGCCAAATCTAGCCAGGTCTTAAAGTCAGCCAGTAACCTGCAGAATGGGCTTCACTGTGAGGGAGACTCTCAGAACAGAGTCCCACAATACTTTGTCTGAAGGGGCTAACTCTCAAGCCCACTGTCCCTTTTCTTAGGAAAAGTGCTGGAGAAAATGATATTTAATTCTAGAGTCTGCAGTATTTGGTGAATTCCAATTCCCTTTAGCCCTCTGTTGCCACCCATGAAACAGCATTATACAAACACCATCCCCTTCCCTGCTTCCTCTCACTGACTCTTCCTAGCTGAGTACAGTGCTACATATTTAATTGTCTTCACCTACGATTATATGAAATGCTGACCTTTTTATGAACTTACTTTGGATGTCTTGATCTTCTCCAAGTCTTTCAGAACTTCTGCCCACTTGCAATGACCTGCTTCTGTCTTTGGTACATAAGCACTAGAACAGAAGAAAAAGTGATCATTAGGCTAAACAGCAGGTATATACAAGTTTTATGCTGAAAAAAAAGAGTCAGAAATTATAAAATACTATAGACACATTGTTTACATGTATATATATATATATATGATAAAGTGTGGGGCACGCATATTTGACAAATCATGAAATCACATAGATACATAAAACTGTCACACACTGTATAAACAGTCAATTTGGTTTTTTTTTAAAGGCCAGACTTATAGAACTTAATGCAAGAGAAAGGTTCAATTACTTAATGCAACATACCTAAAATTCTTTTAAAGTATACAAATAGAATTCCAAATCCACTCTCTAAAGTAACTGGAGACAAGTAACAGCTGTAATAGTAAAAATATGCATATACTGTCTAATTAACATTGACTTTGTAGTTACCATAAGATGATTAGTCCCATCCCATTCTTTAAAAGGCAAAAGAAATGGCTGTTCAGAAGAAGACACAGCTGATACTGCAGACAAATACTTTTCAGGTGTATTTTCTGAAAGACACAACCAAGGTGATACCTTGTCACAATCTGATTGCACAGAATTTTGCTGTAGTACTGACTTAATTGACCAATTTGCCAAGACATCCAATCAAGGCAGGACTACCTGTTGTGTGTAGCTGGAAAGACCAACTGATTTGTATCTTGCAGAAGTATATAATCGCTTTACAGAACAGTTGGTAGGAAATCAGATGCTGAAGGCACACTGTGAACACCTGAACTCGTCCTGGGCTCCCTATTTATTTATCTGTTCATATTGCAAACTGCAATTTAACGCAGAGACAATATTAAAGAGCTTTTTTTTTGTTTATGATCTTTCCCCTGGCTACCTTTTGTCACCCAAATTCAGTTAGTTACTACAACTAGAACATTAACTACAATATTGTGATTGCATATATATGAAACTCTGCATTGAATGCATCAGGTGCTATAGTTATATGTATCAATGTTAAACATAGTATTTAGAGTATATACTTCTTTACATAGTGTATGTCTGACTAATCATAGAATCACAAAATATTTTGAGTTAGAAGGGACCCATCAGGATCATCAAGTCTGGCTCCTGGCCCTGTGCAGGACACCCAAGAGCCACACCATGTGACTGAGAGTATTGCCCAAATGTTTCTTGAACTCTGTCAGGCTTGGTGCTGTGACCACTGCCCTGGGGAGCTTTTCCAGTCCTCTGGGTGAAAAACTTTTTCCTGATATCCAACCTAAACCTCCCCTGACTCAGCTTCGTGTTGCTTCCTTGAGTCCTTTCTCTGGTCACAGAAGTGATGTGTCTGCCCCTCCTCTTCCTCTCATGAGGAAGTTGAAGAGCACAATGAGGTCCCTCCCTCAGTCTCCTCTCCTCCAGGCTGAACAGACCAAGTGCCCTCAGCTGCTCCTCACACGGCTTCCCCTCAAGGCCTTCACCATCCTTGTTGCCCTCCTTTGGACGCTCTCTAATGGCTTAATATCTTTTTTATATTGTGGCACCCAAAACTGCCACAATATTCAAGGTGAGGCCATCCCAGTGCAGGGACAATCCCCTCCCTGACAGGCTGGTGATGCTTTGCCTGATGCCCCCCAGGACAGGGTCGGCCCTCCTGGCTGCCAGGGCACTGCTGACTCGTATTCAACTTGCCATCGACCAGGACCCCCAGGTCCCTTTCCTTGGCACTGCTTTCCAGCCTCTCATTCCCCAGTCTGTCTGTACATCCAGGGTTGCCCCATCCCAGGTGCAGAATCCGGCACTTTCCCTTATTGAACTTCATATGGTTGGTGATTGCCCAGTCCCCTAATTCATCAGGGTCTCTCTGCAGGGCCTCTGCCCTCAAGGGAGTCGACAGCTCCTCCCAACTCAGTGTTGCTGGCAAACTTACTTAATATTCCTTTGAGTCCTGCACCCAGGTCATTAATGGATATGTTGAAGGGAACTGGGCTGAGGATGGAGCCCTGCAGAACCCCACTAGTGACAGGTCGCCAGTCTGATGTTACTCCTTTTTATGTAACTCTTTGTGCCCAATCTGTGAGCCAGTTGCTCACCCATTACACATGGTTAGCCAGCTGTGTGCTGGACATTTTGTCCAGAAGGATACTGTGCGAGACAGTATCAAAAATTTTGCTGAAGTCTGAAAAGATTATATCTACTGGCTTTCCTAGATCAACTAGGTGGATTATGCTGTCATAGAAGGAAATCAGGTATGATAAGCAGGACTTTCCCCTCATGAAGCCATGCTGACTGTGACTGATGACTGCATTGTCCTCCAGGTGTTTTTTAATACTCCCCAGACTAATCTTTTCCATGATTTTCCCAGACACTGAAGTGAGACTGATAGGCCTGTAGTTTCTGGGGTTCTTCTTCTTGCCTGTCTTGAAAATTGCCAGCTTCCAGTCAGCCAGGACCTCTCCGGATTCCCAAGACCACTTGAAAAATCAAGAGAGGCTTTGCGATGACATCAGTAGCTCTTTGAGGATTCTCAGATGAATCCTGTCTGGTCACAGGTTTGTAGGGATCCCACTGGAGCAGTAGATGGCACACAGTTTCAGAGTCAGCTGGGAGCTGATCATTCTTGCAGTCGTGATCCTCCAGCTCAGGGCACTGAAACCCCCTTGGTCTGTCATCCATATTGAAGACAGAGGCAAAGAAAGCGTTAAACACCTCTGCCATGTCTCTGTCCCTGTTTGTGAGGTGACCATCCTCATCCTGCAATGGGCTGATGTTATTTCTATACTGCCATTAATATATTTGAAAAAACTTTTCTTATTGTCCCCCACATTTCTGGCGGCTTCAACTCCAGTTGAGCTTCGGCCAAACAAATTTTCTCCCTACGGTGGCAAGCAACATCTCTGAATTATTTCCATGTCACCTAACCTGGCTTCCACTGGGCATATGCCTTCCTTTATCATCTTACTTCCACGAGAAGATCTCTGTTCAGCCAAGACAGCCTTCTACCTCATTTGCTTGACTTGTGACATTTGGGAATTGCCTGCTCCTGTGTCTTTAGGAGGTGATGTTTAAAAAGTGACCTGATGAACCCCAATACCTGCAAAAACATATTCCCAGGGTAATTTTTCTACTGGGTAGTGATGCATTTAAGAATTTTGTCAGGGGAGTCTGGCAACTGGAAATAAGGAGGAGTTGTGAGCCTGGTAACCTTTGTAACAAAGTCACAAGCCCTTTGATTTAAGCTGATACAGTTCCTTCAAAGACCTAGGTTAATTATCTGCAGCAGTACAGTGCTTTTGATCCAAGGTTGTATTTCTTATCATACATGCAATACTTTTAATGTCATTAACAAATGATGTTTCTTTAGCAGTGATTTATTTACAAACTTGCAAGTAAATATTTAAAAATAGACCAGAGAACATAACAAAACAAGCGCTAGCACTGTGCAGTGGTAAAAATTTCCAAATGGGAGATCAATCCATAAACTGTCAGGAGTCCAGCTAACTTGCTGAAAGCCACCTTAATAAATAAAGCAAAGCCAGGAGCATGATAATTATATGTGTCACAGGGGACTTCTGAAGAGTATTTGTAACAAATATTTGCTGCTCTCTTAAGTGGAGAATTCTTTAAATACTTTGCAATTATTTTGTTTCCAAACCCCAAAGATATAGCTGAAATAGCATAATAACCTAATCATACATAAATGTCTACATCCTGTAACAGAAAACAGTGTCAGACCCTTTTATCCCCTTTGTTTGTGCAAAATCTGTTAAATAAGAACTATGTAAATGAATGATTCTCTGATAATCTAAATTTCTGTCTGGACAGAGCAAATAGCATCTCATCCGTCTTCTGAACAATTTCAGTATGGAGGGTGCTGTGTTATTAGCAGCCAAAGTAGGCCACGAAGCAAGGCTCAATCTGTCACTGTTTCCACAACAAAAAGAAATTGAAGATATGTAAGTATTAAACCCAAAATATTAAGTATATATACATAGGAATGCAATGGAAGAGAAATATTGACTGCTTGGCTCTAATCAAAAGAGCTAAATCATTTTGTTATAGTATGACAGAAAGGCTTTAACCTTTTCACAGTTAATATTGTTTGGTCTCAAATTCTCATGTTATTTCTTTTAGTTTTGGGGTTTTCTTTGTTTTTGTTAAATATGCATACCAACTTCTTTGATTCAATATGTCAATCCCTAGAAAATATCCTATTTTTATTGGGAGTTTTGTTTGTTTTTTATTATTATTATTTTATTGAAGATTGAAAGTAGCCTTATGGGGAAATTCCAAGTAAATGTAAAGAAATTTTAAATCTGTTTAGTGGATACAGATGAAGAACACATATTTTAATCTCATGTTTTATCAAAATTATTTAAAGTGTATTAGAAATATTTTACAATAGTTAAACATTTTTATCGTTCCACAAGCCAGTTTTTATCAAATGAGATCAGGTGACGACAAATTAAAATATGAAAGACTTATGATGAGTCCATAAGCATGTACCAGCTTCCTGATTTATAATTAGTGTTATGGGGCCTTTTTAAAAAGGTGATTCGAGAGGAAGTTCCAATTTATGCCGGAGAACAAAGTGTTCAAGGTGAGGAAAATAATATATTATTATACCTACTGAATAATGGGCCAGAGTTGTCATTATTTTGTCATTTGTTTCCTATTTTTAATAATTGTTCACTGTGATGACACTGGAACACTGTTCTTAATGATCAATGTCTTTATCTGCATCTTTGGTTTTCTTAAATATGTGAGATAACTGTTTTACTGTAATAAAATAACAATTGCTAATGTAAAATAAGTACTCAGCTTTCAGAAGTAACAGAAAGCTTGTACTGATAGTAAAATATGTGAAAAATATACTACATGCATACTCCAAAGGGTACTCCATTTGGTCATAGAGAAAGAGGTTCTTGATGTCAACTAGATCACCCAACACATTCTTTTCAATCCGGGGCCATTTTCCACTTGAATTTCTTAATTATTTCATCTGAATTATTATTCAACAGCGGAAGCACTGTTAGCTCATTTGGAAGCTTTGACAAATTGTTCTCCTGCCTTGAACACACAGTGCTATAATGCAAAAATTTTCTTTGGACAGTGTCTGCTTTTAATGTCCTACGCTGTTTAATCATTAACCAATTCCTTTCGGTCTTCGTTATGTCTCTGATACCCTGTGACCGTTGGACAAGGGAGCAGCTCATATTTATGTAGGTAAATGGTTCTATTTGTAGCTTGTATCCTAATAAACTCCTACTTTAGGTTGAGGATTAAAAACTTTGTAAGTGAATATATGCTTTCCAAAAATCAATGATATACACAATAAGCTTTGTAAAAGGAATGACGTTTTTTAATAATGAAATTTAAATTAAGCATTTTAAGAGCAGTTACCACTGAGTGATATCTAAGATACAGCAGTACTGTTTTCTTTTTAAAGAAGCAAACTTATAAGATAATGACAAAAATTTTCTTTAACAAGTCTGAAACAGTCAATGATTTTGCTGGTTTGGCTGTCACAGAAACAATAATCTAAGTTAGTCAAAAGAAAATATTCATAACTCTTTATGGTATTTAAGTTACATATGAAGATAAAGTTACATGGCTTTGCCTATATACTATATGTCTAAACTTCTTTATTAATATTTGCTTATAAATTTCTCAATGAATCCTTGAGATGTGATATTCATAAGCAAGCAAGTTTATTTCCTGACTGTGCAAGTTGGTATTCTTGGCAAAAGTCCACTATTACTTTTTTATTCTTTATTTATATCTTTATTCCTCATCTGCTTCATTGTTCTTGAAAACAAGTGACTAGAAGCATACAACATACTCGGATCTTACGAATCATTTAGAAACCAGTGATAATATTTTCAGCTTCTATTGGAAATAGGGAAATGCCTACTGCTAGTGTTTTCTTCATGACTGTATCACAGCAGTGGCTCATACTTCAATATGAATTTTATGCAAGAATTTTATGTCCTCTTCTTTCAGAATCCTGGAATGTCCTAAGAATTTTTCGCTGTTTGCAGAAACTCTCACCCTCAAAAAAAACAACCCCAAAACCCTGAAGTCTAAACTTCTTACTTTTTGGTTATGTTCAAATTTTCCCTAACTTCTTGACCTGTAGCACAAAGCTCTTTTTCTTGATCAGCCCTTTTTCCCTTTGCCTCTGGGCTTTCTGGCTAGAAATGATGCTGACAGAAGTCACTAGTCCTCACATTCCTTGCTCCTGAGAGCAAATCACCCTGCTCAGACTGCTCTCTCTTGTAACAACCTATTTTCCCATTTCTCATCTTCATTCTGTCACGCAATAGACTTCTTGTACATTATTTATCCTATTTTAGTCAGTCTCTTCTTCCACTCTGTTCTACAAATATGTGTCCTCAGCACTTTCTCTTTGGCTTCTCGAGCAACAAAGTACTGTAAATCTTCTTTTCTCTGTTACTGCAGCAAATGTCCCTCTAAAATCATACCGTCACCTCCAGCTCTCTCAAGTCCTTGGACATTTTATTGAGCAACACCTCAGGAATAAAGCAGGCTTTTTAAAATTCATATTCAAATACTGTCTACATCACACAGAGCTGAGTTTTACACTCTTCTATTTGCCTTGTTTCTGCAATTCTTCTTCAGTGTCTCCTTTGCCACAATAATTATAGCCTCCTTAGAGAACTCTGCCTCCTCCCCCAACAAAATCTCATCCTGTGACTCTTGTTCTGCTGTTCTCTGTTGGCTCCCCTGATTAAATGTTCTGTCCTCTTGTTCTGGTGCAATTCCCTTCAAGGGGACAAAGTGCCAAGTAGCTGCACAACTAGAGTGCTGCATCTATTTAGGGTTGGGTATTCTGCATGATATTGGAGCTCTTTCTCTACACTCAGAAGCAAAGACAACACTTTTAATGTCAGAATCTATAAGACTGGGGAGAAAATCAGATGTTTTTCCCATTTGTAGCCTAGTCTTGTAACAAAAGAACTTCATCCTTTTTTAAAAAAACAGATTTTTTTTTCAGGAGAGAAGTCATGGAAAGTAAAGATTTCATAAACTAATGGAAGTGACTAAAAGAGGAATGGAGCCCATAAAGAAAGCAGTACTTCCGAACTAGATAGATGTTTCCATATTAAGGCCTTAAATAAGTAATTTTGAAATCAAATTTTCATGGATCACAAGTAAGTTTTAGAGGAAAGACATATTCTTAGTGCCTTGTCATGGAGTAAATGCTGGAAAACACTGAAAGTCAAAGGAGCATACTCACTGAAGGATCTCTCTGCTCTGTCATTCCTAAGTTCCTCTAGTCTGTTTAAAGAAAACAACCAAAGGGAAAAAAAACCTGAATATAAATTAGTGTCAGAACGTAATTATTCACATCAGATAGAATTCAGAGAAAAAGAGAGAAAACCACATTAATGTACTCTGAGACAATAAGAGACTCTGTAGCAGGTACAGAGGTACAGCCCCTAAAGGTACCTAGGTACAGCCCTCTAGTCACAGTTTGAGAGTAATTTCATTTCCATATACGGAATTTTTTATATCAATAGAAAAAAAGTAATATTAGTAATATTAACTTATGAAGGGATCTAGCACCAGGGCCTTAAATTATTTACCAGTCTCTAGGGACTAGTCCTGTCTATCAAAGAAACATACTTTACATCTCTGGTAACTTATGAATACCATTTGATGCCACAACTATTAAAAAGTTGTTTCTTTGCTATCATGGTGCCTGAATCCATTATGATTCCACAGCCATTGTAGTTCCTCTTCTCCCTCCCCACCAATCTTTCCATAGAAGCCTAGGAAATCAGCTCTCAAGCTCCACCAGTGTTACCAGCAGCCCTCCTCCTCAAGGTTTGAAGGCAAAGAGTGGGCTTTCTGTCTAGCTTGTACTTACTGCTCCAGAAAGGAAGCCAGTGGAATTCCTAGGTGTTAAGCTGAATCACATGGCTGAATGCTTGTCTGGATGAGAGCCAAACCACGCCTTAGGCTGTTATGTCTTCAAGCTTTTATTTCATAAAACTAGAGGTGCTTTCTTAGAAGTTTTGTATTTAGATAGAATTGGGCTGGCTAAAGATTTTTTGCAGCATTAAAACTGGGCATTCTTTAAGTATGATTCCTATTTGATTACTTCCCTCCCCCCAGGAAATACAGCTTTCCTTGTTTTTACTGTATGGTGGCGAGTCTCTTGTGGAGTACTGTCCTAAAAAGCTTATTCTGCTTGTATTAGAGTGGTGTTCTCAGTAATCAGCATGGCAAGAAACTCTCTCAGTTTAATCACATATGTTCTTGGTTTGCTTAAGTACTTGTTGGTTTGCTCTGACAGTTCTCCAGTAGGACTTCCTTCTCCTGTGTGCTCTTGCTAATTGGCATTTATGCCAGAGTAAAGTTTGCAATGCCTGTTGGAAAATTTTGCTAAAAGGTCACAGAGTCATTACTATTCCACTCAATACCTTAAACATCAGATTTTGAAACGTAAGAAGGTAAATATTTCCTTTGACCTTTTTGTGTGGTTTAGTTTTTTTTTCATGCATGTGTGTGTGTGGTTTGTGGGGTTTTTTGGTTTTGTTTGTTTGTTTTGGGGGGGTTTGTTTGTTTGTTTGTTTTTGCAAAGCGTGTTTGAGGCCCTGGGCCTTACGAAGATGTGTCCTACACTCTGCTATAGACCTGAAAGGAAGTTTGTCCCTGGAGCAAAGAAAGATTTTATACCTTTCCAAAGAAACTTACAGTCACAGTAGCAGTGAAAACCAACAGAAGTGCTGCAATACTTAGGGCTAAATATTACTAGCTGAATATAGGTATGAACATATTTGAACTTATGAATATAACTGTGAACTAATTAAGAGCCTTCCTTTTAGTCTGTCTGCTTTCACTAATTTGAAAGTCACGGCCTCAGAGAAATAAAACAACACTGCATGACCACAGGCCTCTTTCATCAATAGCTCTGCTTGAAATACGGATGCCAGGTCCCTGTTTGTATGATTGAGAGACCAAGACATCAAACATGTTGCTTACCCCTTGCCTGTCAGTTCAGGATCTCTCTTAAGCAATATTTCCCAGGTGGCAAAATCCAGCCAGGAAAGAAAGCTTCTTTCTCTTTGCATCCTTCCACGTAATGTCAGTCATTTCAAAGTATCAGTCACTCCTTAAATTGTGAAAGATCAACTTAATGTTGTCCTAATGCAAGGATACATGATATTAATGCTAGATTAACTTGACAAACACTGTGATTGACATATAGAAGCCCTAAGTTTTGCTAGTGGCAAAATTAATTTAACTCAAATGCATACTATTTGTAATACATTGGTAAAGAACAAGTATATAGCAAAAAACTCACTTGTAGGACGCAGATGGTTAGATTTGACCATTTATCCCCAAGCAACCCCCCTCAGGATGCAACATGCAAAAATTAGTTTAAAGGCCTTTTGGAATAAACTCTACCAGATAAATAAGCAGTAGGAATAACAGGAGCTTCTAAATGTAAAGGACATTAATAACACACACAAAATAGGGCCAGACTTAGTCAGTGCTGAAGTTTGTTCTACAAAATGTGGCCCAACCTGTGTGTATATATGCTGTAAGGCACTCCCTGTACTCCCTGTAAATATTATTTGTGGTATTTTTATCATAGCAACAAATATCCAACAGGGAACGAAAACACAATTTCTGTGCCTCTAGTAGTAGGATGTTAACATTTAAAACAGTATCAAACATGGAAACTTAAACCGCAAAATATTGTCATACTGATGCATAAAAGTTGGAAATTCTGAGATGACAAAAATAGTTGTCACAGGAGCAACTGCTGGACAAATAATATCTCAGCCTTAGGAAAATACTCAGCTTAAAGACTGTGGATGATACCATATGCTAATAGAGATCTGTAACACACTTTTAATGGAAGACTAAAAATAGACAGTGCAGTTCTCAAAATGGTAAAGTAAGGCAGTATTTTCAGAGCTTTTTTTAAAAAGGAAAATTATGATCCATGACCCTCTCTGACAACCATACGTTTACTGGAATTTACTGGACCCTGAAGTAAAGAGGCAGAATGCAGTCTGAAACACTGTAATTTTTCTCATGCTTTTAATCCTATCTAAAGAGCAGAATGAAATCCTAATATGTGTCAATTGCCATAGCTTTACTTAAACCAATAAACTTATTTTGATTTCCAAAATTGTTGAGAATTTGACCAAAATGTTAACCAGGGAAAAACAGATTTATTGACCAACTGAGGAAAGCAGCACACAAGCTGTTGTAAACAGACCAACGGGCAGAAAAAAAATAGAATCAGGATTCTAAGAAAGAAGAACAAAATATCTCTCCTGTAGGTTTATTTCATATAGGATATGTATAAAAAAGGCAAAAAACCTGGAAAAGACATTATTTCTGCTTTATGTTACTCTAAATCACTTATAAATAATGATGCAGTAGGACTTAAAGCAGCAGCAACTGTTCTTAGTCTCTTGTCTTTGGATACAGAAGTGATTACAGGAAAAGCTCTAGCGTGTGTGCTACAGAAACCTCCCCCTTTCATGTAAATTTTGAATGCATTTTTGTGGAATGTAGCCATTGTGAGAGTGCACACTGAACCACTTCTTTTCTATATGTGAGCAAGTGCTGAGTGCAATACAGTATTTGTCATTCTTCGAGGTCTCTTCTATCTGTTCATGTGGATGATGGTTTTCCTTCATTTCTTGGCAGCCAAAGCCAAATTGAACAGAGGAATGGAAGAGGTTCTGTGTTTTTAAAATAACGAGAATTAATGCAGTCAAAAAAGCATAAGTGGTAGTCATAGTTCCTAACAGTGCAGCACAGCACTCATCCAGAAACCTTTAAATTTTCTTTCAGAAGGGGTAAGATGACTCTATGAGTGAGAACATTCATTTAGATAAAAGTATCTTTAAAAAAGATTGAAAAAATACTTCACAGGGATGTTAAAAGTAGCTGTATCTTAAAATAATTGGCAGTACTGCAAAGGGTAAATGATTCCCTGGGTGCCTTTATATTATAAAGCTGTGTAGACCAATTTTATTGAAATGGAGGAAGCTCTTGGCTAAAAGAGTTAGCACTGTAGGATTGCTTACTTTATTTATTTAACACACAAGTTGTCAAGTCAATAGCAACTCACTGCATTGACAGTAATCAAGAGATTACAAATTATTCTGATATGCTCATACAAGAAGCAAGATGAATTGTAAGAGGTGAAATACATATTGTAAGATTAATCCATGACTGCATTGCAAAAAGCCAATCAATTCTATTGAATGTGTACATATGTGTATAAATATCATTTACAGAATTATGATTAGTCTTGATAAGTAAAAGAAACATTTGGGGAGATAATGTAGTCTGCCAGAAAAATTCATACTTCTTACAAATGGGGAAGTGCATATCTTCAGATCAACATCAATAACAAAAAAAAATGTAGTCTCATTTTCAAATCAGACTGCTTTCAGGAGCTCCCAGTGAAATAAATGCCTGATTCAGCTATAGGTAACTGCCACATCCACGTTGTGATAAGGCATAAGAGGATGATAAGATAAAGATCAGATTTCCCCATAGTATTTTTTTTTCAAGCCATATTTTTGTCACATTTGAATGGTAAAGCTAGAAATCAGTCTTGTCATTGTAAACAAGGGCACATACAGTGTTTTATCTGCCTCACAGCCATGGTCTTTCTTTAAGAATAAAAAAATTACTGATGATATTAAAAGCTGCATGTTATATTCTTTGCCTGAACACTACTCAGTTTGCTGAAGGCATACAATCCTACTGTCCTATATAAGCTTTTCCTTGCTCTCCCATTAGCTTACTCCTTGCCTGCCACCAGAGGAAGGTATCTATTTGTCCTGAATGGAAGCACAACGTTGCAAACTGTGCTGTCTTTCAAAGAACAGCTGACAAAAACTGGTTTTGGCAGATATTCACCCAAATGCCATGTAAGGTCCACATGGTTGGTAAAGTTAGAAACAAATTTAGAAGGTACCAAAAATACATGGCCGTTCACATACAGCCTGGCACCTTTTGGTCTTAAAGCCAAAACAGGCATCATGCACGTAGAGACACATGGCAGAACACAACTGAAATGAAAGCAGTAAGGAAAAGTCACAGGAACTATCACAGATGAATCCCAAGCTGCCACCTGGCTTCTGAAACTTCCCTGACTATACGTTTGAAGATGTTAAGACTTAGCTTTATACTCAAGTATTATGACTGCATTTTTTGTGACATGCTACTAATGATAAATCCCTGGACATTTCAGTGTGGGACCTCGAGAGGCCAAGGAATCAGCTGCTCCTGTCCGTGTGAGCATTCCTGTTCAGGTTTGGTTGTTTTTCTTTTTAAACTGAACTGATAGCATTGGTTGCCTATTTCCACAAAGGGAACAAAACCAGAACAAAATGAGGTGGTGTTATACCTGTCTCAGGTCAGAGTGAACACACCAGCACACTCTTGCTACTTTCATAGACTACCCCAACTCTCAAACTAAAACCAGAGTTGGCACCAGTGCAAACACTGATTCTGAGGATTAAGGTAGCACAATAGGTTCTTTCACCAGTATTCCTTGTGCCCTTTCCATAGGACATGCAAACTGGATAATCAGCAGCAGAGAGTAAGGTAGAAATGTATACACTGAAGAATTTTACACTTTCCTACCCTAATGCTCTCATTTGCTTCATACTTGGACATTGAGCCTGCAAGTTGCTGTGTCTGCTCCTTTCCCACTGGGTTTTCTATGACATTACTGATCTTTATCTTATCACCAGCGTGCCTGTAACAAACATGGATAGTGCCTTCCTAAATCTTCGTTCGGGAAGCCTGGCCATGATGATGATGATGATGGCTGATCTTTATCTTACACCTGTACAGGCAGCCAGCAACAGTTTTACCTCAGAGTGGCCATGCAGCAGTCATCTTGTTGACGACCTGTTTTATATTAAAGCTTCTTTACACAGGTTCTGCGCACTCAAAGGCCTGCAGAAAATCCTGTTGGAAGAATGATGTCACGTACAATGACTTTTCTTTAGCCTGTGCTGGTCTCCTGTAGTATATACCTTTTAGTTGTGGTTCTTACAGGTTAAAAACTAGGTATGTGTCCCTGATAGGAACTAGAAAAGCAGACAAAATTTAGGAATACCAGCACAGACTGCAAGCAAAAGTCCTCTAGGAGCTCTGTGACCAGTTGTGAATGCCAAGGGAAGAGCATATTGATTCCTCCCTGATATGTCCTTGTTTTCCAGCAAAGAATTCATACAAGGCTTGTCAGATTTGGGGCTAGTGTTTTCAAGTTTAGAACTTCTTTATCCTCTCTTCCCTCGCTGTTTATCAGCATAGATGAATATTTGCTTTTTAATCAATTTTTTAGAATTTTATGTAAAAATTTCTTCTATGTAAATACATTTCAGTTTTTGACAGGCACTGTTGAGTTCTAAATGTAAAATATGACAGAAAGTAATTTAAAAATGGAAAATATTACATTAATTAGGCCTCTTCATAATGTAATTTTCTGAAGAGCACTGCTTTTACAAGCCTGTATAACCTAAGGGAACATACCTTTCTTTTTTTAGGTCAGTTTGAGTTTTCTAAAAGCCACAATGTCACTATCTTGAATACACATATGTGTTATTTTCAGACATTACAATGTAGCAAATGCTGGCATTTACCCTTTTCATGAAAAAAAGTCTTTTATGTCTTTCTGGTTTTGATCTATTTATTTTTGTTTCAGTTCACCAGGCACTGGGAGAACATTTTGATCATTTGCAATAGCTATTTCAAAACTGAGCCAGCTAGCTGAGAAAAAGAAAACAAACTTTCTTCTCTCTTACTTGTAAACTATGAATTAAAAAAAGCATGGAAGAGCTCTGTCATTTACTAGTTCTAAATGCCTGGAACAACATAACATACTTTCAGAATTCCTTTTTAGACCAAGGCAGGAAGGTATGGAATTCTTCAGAGCACATAGGAAAATTGTACCCCATAGACCCCAGTTTGTGGTCAGCTGAAGGGAAGAAAAATACCTGTTTATTCTATTGGTTTCAGTAAGAGTGAGGCATTTCTACTACTCAAATGCCTAGCATATTTTTCCCAAGGATGCTCCTTCAGAAAATCTAAGGGGTACTGAGCAAAAAGAATTACCTATTATTTTTAGAATGCTCCTTTTTTTCTCCTGTGTCAGAAATAGTTTAGCTAGTCATATTTAACTCACACAAAACAAGATTCAAATATTCTTTGATCATGGAACTTCTGTTTATCTTGCTGAGAGTGGTAGTCAAATTATCTATTAGTTTCTTGTTAAAAATTGTCACATATGCACAGCACATAAATTGCATTATTGTCATTGTAAGTCATTCCTCTTTAGTTGGATGAAAACTACTAGAAAACTACTTTGTCCTCGCTATGACCTGTGTATCCTGAAATTGCACACAGTTTAAAATGAAATCTGAAATATTCATATATCATTTAAATTATGCAAAATAATCTACAGGCAACCATAAAATCTTATGAATCTGAGAGATAGTTATATGAGGGCAGGAGATGAGTGGAGGTTTTGTCCTTAAAAAAAAAAGAAAAAAAAAGAGAAAAGGAAAGACCAAAAAAAAGAAGGAATTATTTCAAAAGCAGAACATGAGAAAAGTTAAATTTAAATGCTAGAAATGAGAGCTAGACTTTGTGTGTTCTGATTGTCTAGAAAGAATGCAAATGGTAAGAACAAGTCCCTATAACAGAATTTTCAACTGGGTTTTTGCCCATGCTCCTGAATGCCAGGGTATATTTTCAGGTAAAGAACCATCCTTCTACTTAGAAGTTAAATTAGTTTCTCCTCTGGGCTCACACAGTGTAATTGTTCTTGAGAGACTGGCTACTAAACCAAATACTTTGCATTTAGAATTTCAGTGACACCCAAGCCAGGTTTCCATGGTCTTGAGACAGTGCATTGGTTGATTGAGCATCATCATATTATTAATGTCACAGACTAGAAGAGGCTTCTGGGAGTACCATTCCCCATTCTAAAACAAAAAAAAATGTCTTTTTTTTTTTTTTTTTTAAGATCTTTGCCTAGTCCCTAGACTTCTAGAGAAGAGTCTTCAACATTCTGAGGGAGCTATTTGCCTCATAATACCCATGCAACTGCATATGATAGCTTAATCTCTTGTAGTAGCATCATGTGGACTCTTCTTAAAATGGAAAAGGATATGAAAAAGAAGGAAGACTTTCAATAACATCTATGGTCTTTTGCCTCTGAGAGGGGAGCTGCTGGAGTTCGACCTTGCTGCTGGTTGAATTAATTGTTTTCTTCAGACTAAACAAAAATTTAGTTCTAATTTATTAAGTACTTTGAGGATTTTTTTTTAAAGACTGGTAGCTCAAATGGCCAATCTCAGAATAAAATGGCCTCATACTCTTTTAGCAACAACTAAAACCCAACATTATTCTCATCCTAAGTCCAAAACACAGCACTGTACCAGACACGAGGAAGAAAATTAACTCTGTTCCAGTTAGAAGGACAGGAAGACAAAAACTTCAATCTAAAATGCAACAGTGTGCCTCCCAAGCTAAGTAGACAATTTTACCTGCACATTAACAACCGATGGAATGAAAAATATTGTGGCTGATTCATATGATTCCAGACCTTAATGCTGACATATTATTTTATTGTCTCTCCTTTGCATTAGTATCATGATGCAAAATGAAATGCACATCAATTATTACGGAAAACTTTAAAACCAGGCCTCTTTAGTAACAGAGAGTTGTGTCTTGGAGGGACTAAATCCACCAAAATATCCTGGGAAAGCCTAAGATCAGCCAAATTGCAGCATAACCTCCCAGCATTCTGAACAGAAGCAAGAGAGCAGGAAAATGGTGCCAGTCTCTAACTGTGTGGAACAGGATAATGAGGTGAGAAACATCTCTTTTGTATGAAACAAAATGAGCATAACTCCAGGCTCAAAGCCACAGTCCATTACATAATACTGTGTTTGTTTGGAATTGTTAATTAAAAAAAAAAAAAAGAGAGAGAAAAATCATGTTGTTTATGTAGGAAATGGGAATTCCCAGGAGTCATCTCACTATTTGTATGTAGCTAGGTATTTCTGGGTAACACAACTAGTTAAATGAGAAAAATTGCAGAGCAGTTAGGGACACAGAAGAGTACAAATCATGCAAACCAAGGTTCTCTGCTGAAAAGTTTGTCTGAAGGTGAGACAAGGAGATGTGAAGAAAGACATACTTAGGATTCAAGAGAGAGGGAAAATACTTACCCACATAAGAATTTAGGCAAGACATAAAGGCTAACAGTTCTACTTTTCAAAGAGTATTGTGAGGCATAAATGGTCTGGTGCATTGTGTTATGTTGCAGTAGAAACAATTACTTTCATAGCAGCCTGTGCTTTATGAGTTTCGTTGGAAGTTATCTTGATGCACAGACCAGAGAACTGACTGCTAATATCTGCATGAAAAATATATTTTCAATATATAGCTGTACTTTTTTTATACATAAGAGAATTCATGAAAGTAACTGTTATTTCCATAGCTATTTTCCTTAAATCAGTACAAAGAAATGGCACTGTAGGTCTTTTCCTCTCCCCACAGCCAACTCCCTCACCCCCAGGATATCTGTTAGAAACTACTGGGGGCCTGTGATCGTAGTCAGTCCAACAAAATCCCATGTTTCTTCTAAAAGGACTTCATTAATCACCTATCTTGAGATGAGGTGAAACTTTTAGATTGTATTTAGGGAGGGGGCTTTTTTTAATCTTAAAAAAGTGCTAATACACTTCCACTTGACGCTGTTTTCATTTAAAAGTGAGTTTCCATGCTGACATTTTTCTCTTTCTTCCAGAAAAAAAAAAAAAAAGCTGTGAATAAACTTTTCCCAGAATAACTTCATTCAGGAAAGCATTATTTCTTGGCTTAAGGAACTACCAGTGGTGCTGTGAAAGAACAATGATTCACAATAATTCTGTGCTGGATACTGATACAACAGCACTCCACTACCCTGTCATTCAGTCACCAGACAAAATGATGAGGCTAATTAGTAACATACAGACAGTGTCTGCCTCAAGTGCCCGAAAAACCTTCCCCTTTTGACACAATACCAGTAAAAACAAGGGAAGGCAGTTCCACAGTGGCTGGGTAGCAAGACTGCTGAGACTTTGGCTGTCCATGCAATTTAATCCTACTTGGCAGCTGAGCACAGCATCAAGGTAGTCTTCAAGGAAACTAGAAGTGGAAGAATTTTATGCATCCCTTTCTTTGCAAAACCACATTTTGATACTGCATTATACCTTTGTCAAATATAAATATTTTTAACCAGAACAAAAAAACCCAAACCCACAAGAATGCAAACCTTACACCACTAAGTTCAACCTATAAGAATAAATATTTCAAACATCCCTTAATGTAACAATGCAGATGTAGTGGGCATCCCTGCAATTACTGAGGCCACAGGTTTGTTTATGCTACAACAAACACTTCATTTCTGTTTGCTGTCCATGCACAGAAAGGCAAGTACCAGGAAAAGAGGTGGGGATGTGAGTGATTTATTGTCTTGCAACCTGAGTGAGGGAGAAGCACATGGTCGTTCTCAGCATGGCATTACTTTTAGACTGTAGGGCTTTTCTGGACTTCTTAATCATTTTAAAAGTTTTAATTGGGGTATTCCCAAGCAGGACCAGCCATTTCTGCAGTTACTTCAGTAGCTGTTTCTGGATGTTGCTGTGTTTCTCAGTACTGTTTTCTGACAAATTTCTATTGCCTCTTTTTTCAGGCAAGTTTCTCTCCATGGTCTGAGCCTTCTTCAGGATATGATAATTGAACTGATCTTACTCTACAGACATGGATGGTGAGCAAAGCAGCCAACAAAAGGAATATTTTTTTTAATATTCCTTAATACATTCCTTTCATAATTTAAAAGGTTTATTTGTTACTCTGAAAAGGAAAATGCTCCTCTCTATGAAAGAGACTTTGTTATCTTCACTCAGGAGCTAGGGAACAAAATATATTAATATTACATCCATTTCTCCTTGGCAACAATCATTAAAGTTGTATTTTTCATCAGGTTTGGAATGGCTGTTCCATGGTTTTCCTCTTTGTTGCCACCACAATCTATAAAACTTGGAGAGAGAACACATCTTCATTCAGCTTTGCAAAAAAGGTCTAATTCAGGTTTAGACTAAGGATGTCAGAGGATGGAAGACATTGGAGCAAAGACAAGAGAAGGCAAGTCTGCAACCCACCATAGTACTGAAGGAAAGCTGTAACTTAGAGGCTTGACTCCAATAGGAAATTTTCTTCAGAAAGGACAGAGCAAAAATCTCCCAAGTTGCTTCTGGTTTTCTTGGAAATTGCTCACATAGTAATCATGTCCACCATGTCCACCTATCTCACTTCTCAAAGTGATATAATTAAAAAATTGTTATGCAGTAATTCATAGAAATGCCCATTGAAGTTGCAACCTAATTTCTATGCTCACCTCTAGTTTCTTTCTTTTTAGGACTTTGATAAATTTTAACTCTTACACTGAAGAGTTACATGGTTGGTGTCTGTCTTAAAAACAACTCCAAGCATGAATATGGAGAATGAATATGCCTGGAGGTTTCATTTTCCCAGCAACCTTAGTAGGTTTAAAGTACAGTAGAATAAATGTAGTTTACAACTGGCTAGATGGTTATAAAGGTGTAACAAAATACTACATATGAAACTTCATTCAAACATGACTATGAAATAGCTAATGAAAGCATTGGATTTTATTACAACTTTTTTATTACAACTTTCCAGTTGTAGACCTAAAGTTGATTGTGTTAAAAAAAAAAAAATCCTTAATGTATTGATGATGGAAAGGGAGGCAGGAGAAAATGCACTCTCACTGGCATTGTGTCATCCTTCACAGAGCTGCAGATTCTGAACACCAGAAGTCAAAGGCTGTGTGCAGTGAGTTTTATTCCTTCCATAGACAAATAGGCCTAGCACTCAATTTGAACTGGCACAGAATTTCATTGACTCAACTGAGTAATGAACAGGCATTTTAACACCTTTCAGAGAAAAGAAATTAACAACCAGGATTAGGGCTGATTTTTTAAATTTTCATGAGCGAATGAATGAATTATAGGTATTGGTGGCATTTCGGTGATCTTTTTAAAAGTAAATTTTGATATAACAAGAATGTGAAGAAAAGATGAAGGTAATGGAAATGTATGTGTATCCCTGCAAATATACCTGCTAATATATTTTAGTGAAATGACAAAACCACTCTATTTTCTGTGAAAGACATAAAAAATTTAAAAATATGACATTTTCTTCAGATCCCCTAATATGAGCAAGGGAATGCTCTAACCACATCTTTTAAACTTTCAGATTCGGCTGGAGAAACATACATTAGGAATAACATGTAATTTAGTCTAAATTTGTAGTTTCAAATCATAAGGTAAACTATTCTAGAAACTTCCAAGAGAATGAAAAATCCTGCTAGTGCTAGTAGCTCTTAGAATCAGTGGAACCAGACACCAGGTGAAACATACATCTGCCCAAGCCCTTTATTTACTTTATTCTCATTTTTACATTAATTTAACGGTTTATATTAAGGATTAATGTCAGAAAAAAGCTTTTATTCAGTAACCTCCTAAACAATAACCTTCTACAACACCATTTAAGAGTGTTGTAGAACACAGCACTGGACCAGAGCTAGTTCAGTGCACGCAGAAACACCAGTTGCTGCCCTAAGGATAAGGGGTTATTTGTGAGTCTGTAGATGAATATTTTCTTTGGCTGCTTCCCTGTCAAGTTCCCAAGGACCAACTACTTTCTAACTTTTTGTTTATGGCACCTTTTCTTCTAGTGTATGGAGACAACATAGCAAAGTGACCAACAGAGAGTCAGTTACCAAAAATCATTTTGATAATGGAAAGCTGATCTGATTTCTGGAAAACTGACTGGGAACCTTAATTCCTAATTTTCTGGTAATGTTGTAACTAACTCTCTGTTCCAGTGAGTGATACCTTTTTGAGCTGATCTCTGGAAACTGTTCTGACACTTCTAACATTATCAGAATGTGCTTAGTTTGCTTTTGTGCAGTCATTTCTAAGAAAGTATTTTATATAAATACCCCGTTAAAAACAAGTGAAAAGATAACTTATTTAGAAAAGCATCATCAAGTTCAAATCCTTATTGATCACTAAAGATTTAAAGAAAAAAAATCCATACAAAACTATGACAGAGTGCACAACAATGTATTCTTAGTGGTTGGAATCTCCTCAGCTTTTTTTCTCATAGAAGATTATTCTACCATGACTTAATATTTTCAATTTATTTGCATTTTTTTTATTCTCTTAAGAGGCACAACATAGATGTTACACCTAGATGTTACACCTGGCTATATGTTACACCAGTTTTTAGATACTAAGCTTTATTGGGAAGGATGTTGTCTTTTTGTTTGCACCTTCATAGCTACATCATTCACTGTATATAAATAAGAGAAACAGCATAAAATGACTAATTTAAGAGATGATAAAGTAACAGTAAAAATACCAGATGAATAAACTTGCATAAACCTTTAAAAGGGGTAGTGGTAAAGTTGTACTTAAAAATGTTCACTGGCTTTGGAAGCAAACAGAATTGCTCCCAGAAGACATGACTTTTAAGTTATCATGAAGGATGAAGGTGTTTAAATAGATAAGTCATAATAGGAGCCCCATTAGTATGACCAGGGGGCAAAGTAAGCTTGCTTACTGAGATAGTCACACAATCCTGTGTCGGCATCTGGCTACATGAGTAATGTCTTTTTATATTCTTTAAGAGCAGTTGGGGAAATATTGAAGTCAAAACAACACCGGCTGTATTTGTGTTTGAAATGTTCAGCATAAATAGAGACTTGAGATGCATTTAATTTTTTTACAAGCTTAGAAGTGTAGATAACCTTAACTTGACTCATGTGGGCTACAGGCAATCACTGTGGAAGAACTGGCATGCAGTAACTTGTACCTGCTCAAGACAGTGACTCATGACCTGCTCTGCCATTAACAAATATCACATTTAACATCTTCAGTGCCATCTGAGAAGTGCCAGGACCTGCTTCTCTATATGAGAACACGGGCAGAAGGCTGAAAATACAGGGACAAAGGTTCGGGGAGTTATAGTCCAGTGTGGAGAGACAGAATATAATGCAGAAGATGGTAGAGGTGTAGGCCAGAAAGAAGGATATGTAGAAGTGGGAACACTATAACAAGGCCTGTGACGAGTAGGTCCGTGCAGCTCTCTAGGCCACAGTACTCGCAGATACCTGAAGCCAACAACAAGCAGAAATTACTATGATTTTCTAATAGTGATCTTTTGTGTTTTACCTCAGTCTCACAACAGAATACAAACAGCAAAATGGTAAGGAATTGAACAGAAACAAGAAACAAATCTTATGACAACTGACTCTCTCAATACGGGCTGTATTCTTCATCTGTGCCATAAACTGCTGCCCTCTGCTTCAATTCTCCCAACTTTCCATAGGCTGCATTGGTGGGACTGGAGTTCCAAATTTTTCTTCATAATGAGGAGGTCTATATTTTTCTTTCTTTTAATAAAAACTAAGAGTCTGATATAATCCCTCTGGCTATTGGGTAATCAAGGGCTAACTGAGTTTTGAGCTGATTAATTGGTTCCATGACTTCTGCAGAAAAGCAGCTGGAAAGCCAGCGGAAAGGATGAGTTCTATTTTCAATTATAAGCAAATACACCCTTAGGAGTGAAGAAGCTAAGAAACTTTGATCAAAATTCACTGTAAATAGAATACCACCTGTCCTAAGCAACAACTTCACTTTTCCCTTATATTAAGGCTTTGCACAGGGACCTATCCATCCATATTGGAGCACATTGGCAGGGAAGGCCAGGCGGGATGAGGCTGTGGAGGCATTGCGGTGCCTGCCTGCTTTGGAGCCCTGCTGCACTCTGTTTTTTCCTTCATGGCAAGGTACCATGCAGGCAGCTCTCTGTTCTGCTGGCTGTCATGGGACAATCAAGTGTTTGGAAATGGGTGAATCCCATCTCAGACTGCCAGGTCCCTCAGCAATAGGTCTCACTGCTGACCTGGAGGAAGGTAAGGAGCAGCCTTCCAGTGCAGGCAGGGGGCTACTGGGTGTCATCAATGTCCTAATGTTCAAAAGATAAGTTACTTGTTTGTAGAATTGTCTTGTTAAAGTTTAGGGCTGGACATGCTTCGGTGATCTTGGGGAGATGGATGCACTACTGATAGTGGACACAAAGAATGCAGAACTTATGGGCCACAAGGCAGAACTCCCAAGATAAGGAAGAAACTAAAAAAGCCCACTTGGCAACTGTGCTGAAATGAGCTCCAAAAGGGTAAAACTTAGTTCCATTAGGGGGAGATCATGACTGCTAACTCAAGTGACCCACCAACTCAAAAGAAGAGAAAGACTGAGCATGCAGACTAATTAGCATAAAAAGTGAGGGGAATTATAGAATAGTAATTAACAAGAGAACTATGTAACTTGTAGCCCATGAACATTAATGCCTTTGTTTGATAGAATGTATAGTTAGAGAAAAGCTTTGACAGTCGTTGTGCTGGCTTTGTGGATTTGCCACCCAGCCCCCATTTCTGTGCAGAACTGTAAATAAATCAAACACCTCGACTGTGTGCATGGAAGCCTCTTCCAGAACCTGTTTTGGAACACCACCATATGCTAATGTCTTTGGGGCTATAACAAGGTCACCTGACCACACTGCCTTCTGGAAATGCAACTGATACATAAACCTCAAGAAGATGGGTTGGGGAGCTCTGAAGAGTGCTAACGAGGCTGAACACTTGCAAGGATTTTCCTCCTGTATTAAACACCCTTGTGGGTAAAGGATTTTGGCCTCAATTTGTGAAAGATCAGTCAGACATAGTCATTAGGTCCAAGCATGAGGGAAGGTCTGCTAGAACTTGCTGTGCCACAAATTAACTGTGAAAAATACAAATGTGAAAAAAACCAGACCAATTTACTATGTAATTCTGGTATAAGTGAACAGCAACGAGTGGAAAAACCAAAGCAGAAAATTATCTAAAATACTGGAAAGGTTTCTAGGCCTTAAATTTGCTCTGTTACCTGTTTTTCTTGTTGGGTTGCAAAATAACATGAAAAGCTTTGCTGAAATTTCCTAAAATACCATGTTGTTTAAGGGACACCTACCTGAGTCTCCAGCCTGCTCAGTGCTCCAGCAGTTTTGTACTGGCCGTGCCATCCCCAGCGTCCTGCCTGCTGGATCATCACTCAGAAGAGAAGCACAGAATCTGGATCAGGAAATTACATTGTGGAACCTAGACATGGGGAAAAAAAAAAGTGCATACAATGTTGCAATAGATTTCTGAGTGGCTTTCAGCCCATCTTTTAAGTTCATTCAAAGCAGGAAGCTGCTGAGATTTCGCAAGTAACTTCTGCAAGTTGCCTTTACATCTTCTGAATCGATGGAAAACAAACTTTTTTAAAGGGTGTTTTTTACTTAGATAATAGAATCTGATTTTTGAATGCTGCAGTATAAGAGGGTTTCTCCCTGGAAAATGAATATTGTCAGCAAAGAATAATTTTTTGTGACTTCTTATAACAATCACGGTGACTGTCTACCCAGCTCATTCCCCTCTTTATTACTGTTCTACAGATGACACAATAAAACCTGTGGAATGGTTCCAAAAAATTGGAATGTTTCCCTTCGCTTTTATAAATTTTTTTCCCTATTTGATTCGCTTTCAAATCTTGCAAGTGTTGAGGTTGGAGAAACAAGAAAATTTTTGTTCAATTAACTGATTTGTACTCATAGCAAGACCTTGAAGACATACAGCAGAAAATGAAAACATGTTGGCAGAACAGTTTATTTGGACATTATATTAGTATTTTTTATAAAAGCAGTCCCAGCATAATCTGCAAGAAAATAAATTGGTGAAGGAGGCTGCCAACAGAAGCTGTAGAAGCTCCACCCTCAGAGGTGTTGAGAAATCAACCAAGCCTGGAGCAATCTGCTGTAATGTTGAAGGTAGCCCTGCTTTAGGTGGGAGGCTGGAAGAAGGGTCCTGTAGATGCCTCTTCCAGTGTAAACTATACAATAGAAATAGGTCTTGAATTAAAAAAAAATATTTGATGGAGGAAGAGGCAGAAATATGCAAACACACACACATGTGAGATTGCATAAACATTTTCTTCAAAAATTAAACACTGAGAATTTCAAAGATATGGGCTGAGAACACAGTCCTGTTTCTATATGTGTAAAGGCACTATTGCCTACAGTTTTGTTAGGGCCTTCTGCAGCTGGGTATCAAACAATAAGGCCCAGTTTCAGTTACCTTTATTTTGGTCAAGATGAACTTTTTAGAGCTGGAATTTCCTACACCGAATTACTTACTCAGGCTTGTGGTTTTCTTTTAAGTCCCTTTAAGAGTACTTCAGTCATTTCCAAAAGCAAATTAGCAGAAAATATGCATTTCTTTGGTATAAAGAAAATGTTTACAAGTATTTAATTAAAGCTGTGCTTCTTAGTAATGTGTTCCAAGTTTGGCAGTCTAGAAAACCGGCGTAAACTTGGCCAAGTCGTGAGTGGCTTAGTTGATTTACATAATTGCAGAAGAGATTTGTTGGCACTGTGTAGGTGATCTCCAACAGTCTCTTCACTGACGAGAACATATTCCATCTCAGAGCTTCCAAAGTAAGTGGAACTCTTTGTATGTGTAATGGTAAAGGGTGAGGAACAGAAATCAGTGATGCTGCTGGTGCACAGCAGTGGAATTCGAGTAGTATGACAGGATGGAGAGCACAGCAAAGAATTAAGACGTGGTGGAGGTGAAAGAAAGTAGGACAGGCTGAGTGTAGCAGAAGGATTTATGAACACTAAAGCATATTCTACTCAAGAACCTGAAACTCAATCCTGTGCTCACTGCCTTCCCATGAATGCATAATTTTAAAAAGGTATTAAATCTTTAATCACAGTATGATGTAATGATTTCCTTTTCCTCTTACAGGATTTATGAACCAAATGGATTTTGTTCACTGAGTAGACTAAGCTCCTGGAAGAAAAAAAAACCCAAACCTGTATAAATGTCCTTGTTTGAAGAAGGAAGATGTGTAGAGAAGGAGAAAGGAGCTCAGAGAAAGAAAACATGGGTTCAATGACAAAGACAGCTGGATGCTGCCCTGAGGAAAAGAGTCCTGTTGAAATAGGAGCCAAGCCTAAAAGAGTTAACTGAGATATCTTGGCCTGATAAGAAACCTCAATACCTGTTTTGCTAGAAGAACATTTTAGGAGCACTGGTTAATATCATGTTCTGTTCTGCTCACTGGACCAAAGGCCTTATTATAGAAAGAATAGGAGTAGTACACACACAGTAATAAATTAGGTAAACTAGACATTTCAATAAGATCTAGAAGGCCCAGAGCCAGGATTCTGCAAGCTTGAAGAATTCAGGTCACCTAATTGAAGAGGTCAAATTGAGGAAGACATCCATGGCAACCACCAGAGGGATGAAGGCTTGAGGAGACGACCCCCACAGTAGAAGACTCCGCCCAGAGCCAGCTTACTTATTAATATGTATAATAAATGATGTAACCATGTATCTAAAGCGTATAAAATGGCTTAGTTTTGCACTTGCAAGTGGAGCAGGTTTTTCCAGCAACAGCTGGCTTGCTCCCAGCGCTGTCAATAAATACCTTTGCTGCTCAAAGATCAAAAGCCTCTGGGCAGTTTATTATACCAAATTTTTTTGATTCACTGTCCCTGTCTTCATCTCACCGTCTCCCTGTGATTTGGGCAAGCTCCTTAATGCAGATTTTTCACAAGCAACAATCATTTTCTGAGTTCCCTCCTACAAGAAATGCTATAAGCGGCGAGGCAGCGTATGGGAACCACAGTTTGATAACTTTGGCCACTACCAGCATTCAGTGTTGGACACTGGAGAACAGGTTTACCTTTGGAATCCCCAGGCTGAGAACAGGACCCAGTGCAATCCCAGGTGGGCTCCCATTGCCACCTTCCTTCCCATCCCCTCTGCTGCCCAGCCTCTACGCTGCACATGACAGCCCTGAGTACAACTGATCCTGTAGTATCAGAACTAATCAAACCTCAGGAATATGAAACACCATTTGACCTATTTACCCTGCCAAGAAGCAGCATAAAGAAAAGCTCTACCAACTATACCATTACCAAAATACACTGCAAGTGAACCGAACCGTACTCCTTGTTTTTCTGCCACAGGCTACAATAGATGAGCCTGTGAGAGCTACTCTGACTCTTCATTTCCATGTTCTTACAAGCACACTACACACCCTTGGTTTTAACAGGTGTACCTGTCATGTGTCTGTTATTTTCACAACATTCAACCTGAGGTTAAAATGACATTCAACCTGAGGCTACATGACTGTATGGCTTATACAAACAGATATAATTTGTTATTTTTGAATAAGTGTGCTCATGTTGATATCTTTTCTTCTTAGATGTAGGTTGGCAGCAGTAACCATCTGCAGGTGCCTAGATTTCCACATCCCTGCAAAACCTCTCCTAAGTTCTGAAGGGCAGGTAAGGTTCCTACTTTCCCTTTCAGGAAGACAGACGATGACACTGTCACTTGCCAGAGATACATGCAGGCACCACTGGTAGAAGTGCCATAATTCTTAATTAGCCAGTGCTGCATCAAAAGAGGCCACAGAGCTCAGGTCTAACTTTCTATCATGTTGCTTTACCAACCAACAGGAACCAATGTCAATATGTTAACAACATATTCGCAGTTAAAATTTTATTTAAGATATGTGGAGTAAAACCTTGTCACTGCTGTTATTCCTTTACAAAAAATGGGTCTTCTACTGCATGAGTGGTTTATAAGATCCTTAGCTCAACAACTGCATTGTCAAATTTGTGTCTGCACAAACAGAATCTGTGGCAGACAGTGATGTGACACCATCAATGAACACAAGCCCTTTCTCCTACAGACACAATAAGATTTTCCACGCTGCCCTTATTTATAGCTTAAATTCTAGGGAAGGAAATTACCAAGCACTTGATATTCACAGCCTTCTGGCAGAGACTGCAGCCAGGAAAAGGTGCAGTGGGAACTATTTCTGGCTAATATTTTAAAATATAGTGATCCGTCTACTCAAAAATAAATTACAGCCAGTAAATATTTTTCTCCTGTATTTTTATTTACAAAAACACACCCTATTACATTTGATAAATTCTAGTCATGGGTGGGCTGGTTTGGCAACTTTGGTGTAAGATTTTTTAACTATCACAGAGTACAACCTTTCTTGTATACATGTATTTATTTTTATAAAACAGGCTTTTAAAAACAGTTCATTGGTGGGGAAAAAAACCAAACCAGCCATTTTTTTGATAAAAAATTTTTAATCATTGGCACTAGAGTCAATTGGTAAACTATTAAACTGTTAAGTTGTAATTTATAGCAGCTATAATGACAACAATGTCTGAATGATCACCCTATGCTGCCACTAAGGATATACCTCATCTGTTATAGCACAAAGTACTATAAGATGGTTTGTAATGATGCATATATCTTGTTGTCTGCTAATAATAACTTATCATCAAGGACAACAGTTTAATTATATAGTACATCTCCTGCTGGCTTCCCAATATTTCTGCTACTGTTCAGTAACTTCTTAGCTAAAAAGGAATCAGTCTCCTTATTTTACACTAGTACATTAATTTATGAATGAGAGACAGAAAGCTTTTATTAGTTGCCAAGGTGCCTGAATTCTTTGTGTTCTCATCATGATATAAAAATCCAGCCCAGGCTCCCCATAAATCCTGATGAATGATGGAGAACAGGCCCCAGATCAGTTAAAGGATGTAGAGAAAATCCCAGACTAGAGTTCTCAGAGAGTTGTGCAGCATATTAATCCAAAGGTGGCACTCAGCCCAGGCCAAGTGGGATCTCTGTTTACACTGATACAGTACGATGAGCTTGAATAAAATATCTTTCTCTTCTAGTCCTTCCTTTAGGTTCATTCTGAGCATGGGATCTGAGCACCCTTCTTGGGAACAGCACTGGCCCAGCAAGAGCAGAGGAACCTTCGGTGTGCAGGAACCTTTGAGGTGGGCACAAGCAGCTAAGGTTCAGTGTTTGGCACAGAAGCAGTGAGCAGGTAAGTTGACCTGGGGTTAATGATGCAAAATCAGAACTCCTTTCATCTCTGAAAGAATAATCTGTCTGTGTAGGTACAAGGGACCTCCAACATTGTCCTACCCCATTAAACTTCTGCTCAAAAAGGAGTTTTGAGCACACATTCCCATGAGGACCTATTGACAGTGCTACCTACTAGAGTTTGCACTTTGCAGACACAAACTCTATCAGCATGTTTGTTAATATGATAGCGTTCATTCCTGGAGTGAATTTCTGTTCCATCAAAATGTGTAAAATGGGAATCAGAAACCTGAGTTGAGTGAGAAGAATGTCTTTAAACCGGGAAACTGTTCAGAGAGATGAGATTTTGCTTCATACACATTTATCTGAGAAATAAGTAGCTGATAATAAGTAATGGATAGTAGGGTTTTCCTCCCTCCATTCCTGAGCAGTTATTTTTGAAATGCTTTTGAAAATTAGGAATATTTTAGCGTGCATACAAGCAAATGGACATGTTGTGATGTTCTTGTTTTGCCTAACACACTATAATTTGGTGTAGAGAATTGGAAATGTATTATAATAATGAGAATTGGCAGTGAATTACAGTCCTGTGGTAAAAATAACTTTAAAGTTATTAAACTCACTATCTTCCATTACGAGCTTTTAAGTGCACAGAAAGACCTCATAAAAAAACCAGGAATCCATGGGTATTACTGTCCTGGGGTTTAGCTCCTAGTGATGGTGCAGTGATGAAATAGAGAACGTAGCAACAAGACCGTGTCATGTGAAAAACAAGAAGAATGAAGTCTGTACTTTTGTGCAGAGTAACAAGTTTGTTCCAACAACTGAGTTTGGGCTGCTGTGCTTTACTGATCCCTGCAAGCAGCAACACTGTGGTGTCCTGCAGAACAGTCGTCTTCTTTACATCACAAACCATGTTACTCTGATAGAACAGCATGTCTCACAGTGGGCTGTTCCAGATTGCCTTTCTCTGTGTTGTGCTGGCTGCAGCAAGCAGAACTACCTGAGCACAGAAGAGGGAAACATTTATCTGACAGAACCCTGAACCTGACATTTGAAGATTTCTGTCAAATGTATTACTGTCCATGGCCTGAAAGGCACTGCTCTTAAGAAAAAATCTAGCATTATGTTATCTATACTACACAATTACTCCACATCAGCCTCTACCTCTGGCCCCTAGGATGCGTCTCTATTTTCAGTGAACTTCTAAGAAGCCTTAGAACAGGTCTGACTGTGGTGTTCAAACATTCATAATTACAGCAAGGTATCAGATTTGTTTAGGTTGGAAAAGACCTTTAAGACCATTGAGTCCAGCCATTAATCTGAGCACCACAGCTACGTGTCTTTCAAATATCTTCAGGGTTGGTGACTATCACTTCCCTGGATAGCCTGCTCCAATGCTTGACCATCCTTTCAGTGAAAAAAATTTTCATAATATACATTCTAAACCTCCCCTGGCACAACTTGAAGCTATTTTATCTTGTCTTGTCACTTGTTACTTGGGGAAAAAAAATGGACACCCACCTCACTACAACTACCTTTCAGGTAGTTGTAGACAGCAATAAGGTCTCCCCTGAGCCTCCTTTCTTCATGCTACACAACCACAGCTCCCTCCTCTGCTTCTCATCAGACTTGTGCTCCAGACCCTCCACCAGCTCTGTTGCCCTTCTCTGGGCACACTCCAACATGTCAATGTCTTTCTTGAAGTGAGGGGCTCAAAACTGAACGCAGGATTTGAGGTGCACCCTTACCATTGCCGAGTACAGTGGGACAACGGCTGCCCTGGCCCTACTGGCCACACTATTTCTGATCCAGGCAAGGATGCTGTTCAGCCTTCTTGGCCACCTAGGCTGCTGGCTTGTTTTCATCTGGCTGTTGACCAACACCTCCAGGTAGGCAAGTTGCCAGCCCCTCTTTCCCAAGTCTGTAGCTTTGGCACGTGGCATTGTTGAAATTCATATCATTGGCTTCAGCCCCTCAATCCAACCTGTCCAGATCTCTCTGCAGGGTCTTCCTACTCTCCAGGAGGCCAGCACTCCTACCCAACTTGTTGTCGTCCACAAACTGGCTGAGAGTGCACTTGATCCCCTCATTCAGATCATTAATAAAGTTACTAAACAGGGCTGGCTCCAACACTGAGCCCTGGGGAACACCACTTGCAACAGGCTACCAGCTGGATTTAACTCCATTCACCACCACTCTTTGGGCTTGGCTGACGTTACACCAGTGCAACCCATGAGCAGCTAGTTTCTCCAGAAGAACGTTGTGGAGGGGGATCAGGTAAGACAATCAGAACTTGCCTTATACCCGTGCTGACTGGGCCTGATCATCTGGATGTTCTGTACTTGCCATGGAATGGAACTCAAGATGATCTGCTCCATGACCTTCTCCAGCACCCTGGTCAGGCTGACAGGCCTGTAGTAGTTCCCTGGATCCTCCTCTCAGCCCTTTGTGTAGATAGACATCACATTTGATAAGCAGTCAACTGGGACCATCTCAGTTAGCCAGGACTGCTGATAAATGACAGAAAGTGGTTTGATGAGCACTTCCACCAGCTCCCTCAGTAACTCTGGGTGGATCCATCAGCCCTATAGATTTGTGCGTGTTTAAGGGGTGTAGCAGGTAGCTGACCATTTCCCCTTGGATTATGGGGCTCCATTCTGCTCCCTGGGTTTTTCTTCCAGTTCAGGGGCTTGGGTACCCAGAGAACAACTGGTCTTACTATTAAAGACTGAGGCAAAAAAGGCATTAAATACATTAGAGTATTTCTCCTTCAAATTCTCAGAGTATTTCTCCATTGTCATCGTTTAGGAAGGGTATTCCTCAATTTAGTGTCCTTGCTGAAACACTCCACGCACTGCTCACTCACTCCCTGTCCCACTCCCTGGCCCCGCTGCAGCAGGATGGAGAGGAGAATTGGAGACACAAAAGGTAAAGATCATGGATTGAGATAAGAACAATTTACTAGAAAAGGCAATGAGCTAAGAAAAGGAACAACAAGAACATTAATAACAGACTGTACAAGAGAGGAGAACAATTCACAAGCAGAACCCAGCACCACCCAGTGCTTCCAGCCTGGCTGGAAGGGGCCTATCCCCCCGTGTCTCCCCCTGCATCCAACAAAGGATGGAGGGGCCTCCTTAGCCTTTCTTTTGCTGCTGATGCATTCATAGAAACACTTTCTAGTGTCGTTTATGGCAGTAGCCAGGTAAAGTTTTGTTTGGACTCTGGCCCTTCTAATTTTCTTCCTGTATAACCTGCTGTTTGTTGCTCATGCTGTGTGCATTGGTGCAGAGGCAGTTCAGTTGAGCTGGCTCATTCCACTTCTTCCTTTATCATTCCCTGCAATTGGAAGGATAGAGGAGAACACCACTTATGTTCCTGATCCCTTAACAGTCGTCCCAAGGCCCTGAAATATTTTGATTGCCTTTGGACTTCCTGTTGCAACTGAAAAAACAGTAACGGATAATAATTGGAAGGCTGTACCAAACACTTCACGTCTTTAATCCAGGCCCCAGGAAGGAAGCAGACTTCCTGAAGAAGAGGGTCTGATCAGATATGGGGATTTCTGTTCCCTTCAGAAGGGATCATCTATGACATCAAGCTGTCTTTCCTTTGTTTTTCCTTTATGGAAGCAGTTTTGGCACAGGCACACGGGTTGACTCAACCTCAGCGACATCCCCAAGCTAGAAGGACCATCGTCCTCCTTATCGTTCCGAGCCTCACACCTCTTGTGCCCGGTCACCGGGGGAGCTGGGCCGGTCACAGAGACGAGCCCACTCACGTCCTCCGGGATCTCTGGCACCTGTACCTGGAGCAGGGCAGAGCATATTCCCACCGCGGCTCTGGCGGGTGGATCCCACCGCTCCCCGGCCGGGCTGGCGCTCCCGCCCCGCGCTCCCGTCGGCGCGAGTGCCGCACCCTCCGGGGCAGTGTCCTGGTCACTCCCTTTCCCTCAGGGATTTTTATACGTGTGAGGGGCTTGGCCGTCTGGCTCCCGGGTCCCGCCAGCCGCTGTCGCGCCGTCTGCAGCTCCTGGCGCCTCTCTCGGCTCGCCCCGAGGTTCCCCCAGCCCAGGAAACCCTCCCTTGCACGGCAGCGATGTGCTTTGGGTCCTGCCGGCACCGGGGCTGCTCGCTCTCTCAGTGTTACACTCCAAAGAACTGGCAAGGCAGACCTTTGTTGTTCATGTCTGTGGAATGGCTACAAAGTCATACATGTTCTCAAAGTTTAGAACAGTCCACTAGACACTCACAGAATGATATTTGATACCTCTATTGGTCTATAAATATTTTTTGTTTATGCTATATTGATCTATAATTATCTCCTTCCAAGATAAATTAAACAAATGATAGATTTCCTTTTAACTGGTACATGTCAAATAAATTGGTAACTGTAAGCAGAAATAAACACAATCCAAACAGACAAAGGAAATGCTGCACTATTGACTATTTGGAAAGTACAGCAAACCATGCTGTGATAATTATCAACAGGAGTTTGTTCTGCAGTACCAGACTTTCTTAAAAGTAAGCCACACAAATATACCTGCTGTATGCAGAAGGAATCACAAGGTAAGGGTTGTGCATAGGAAGGAGAACTTATTACTGGCTTTTACAGATATAATCTTGCAGGTTTAGACAGTACAATACTTGACAAGTTTCTGTCCCACACATCTTTCCCCTCTTTTCCAACCTAAATGAACCTATGATTCTATGATTAGAGAGAAAGTGGTATTTTTCACAAGCCTCATAAATGCATTTGTTTACTCTTGTTTACTACCGACTAAAACCTCCCTATTACTCTGCTATCATCTACAGGATCTCAGTGTCATTGCTTTCAGTAGGATTCCACTTGACTGCTGATTTTCAGTTTCCTGCCTGCATTTAATGCTCTTTCAAGTGTATACACTAAGATGTAAATAACTTTCCTCCCAGATTTTTGTCTCGGTCCTTGCTATGTTAACTAGGCTCACAGCAGTAGCTTTTTCTCCTCATTTTTGCTGTGTGAATTCGTTAGCAAACAATGACAAATTTTCATGGGCCAGCACCAGTTCTCTGTACTTGCTGAAGTCTCTCACACAGCAGAAACAGAGAAACAGGTGCCAAGTCCAAACAAGATTAAATACAATACTTAAACTATGTCTTCTGTATTTATAACAAATATTATAAGATAATTTACAAAAAACATTAAATAATTAGAAGTTAAGCTGTATGAGTTACCTCACCTTTTTAATACAATGAAGCAAGAAAGAAAAACAAGAGGATGTCAAAAGTTGTGAAGTACTCACAAGTCTCGTTATGCTGTGCAGCAAGTTGACAGAGAAGTTAGGATAAGGTTTGAACTAGTGACAGCAGCAAATGCTCCACCCTCTGCTCCGTTCTGTTTTACTTTCAGTTGTTATATAATAACATAGTACTAGATTTGTACCTAACATAAGGTGGAAATTATTCCTATGATAAAGAGCATATAGTAGGGAATTCCTGCTGCCATTTCTGAGCAATTTGCAAACTTGGAAAAAAACAACTCCACACAGAAAACACTCTGTGGGGAAATACATATGCCTGTGATTTAGAAGGCAGGCAAGTGACACAAACACGAAAGGCAGCTCGCTGTTTGCTGTCCCAAGCAGTGACGTTTTTGCAGCTCCCTCTTATCATTCCTTATAGGGAAGAGAGTTTATGGTTTGTGCTCCTGTTGCTGCACAGTCCCTTCCCCGCTTGCAGCTTAAGTGTATTCTCCCGAGGAGGACTCGGAAGAGTTGCTTACCTTGGAATCGAATGCTGTAGCTTTATGCCGTGACCACTCCTCTTATCTGCAGCCCGAACAGTGTTTTGCTGGGGCAGCCACCACAGGAGGGAAAGAGAAGTGGCCTTTCAGGGCAGTGCCAGGAAGGCACGGAAGAGGGTTGTGAGGACAGAAAGGAGCTTCTCCCAAAGGTACGGTGTCTGGCTTGCCGTGGAACACCAGGGCAGAGAGGTGTCAGAGGCCCGGGTGTCAGCAGAAGAGGATACTTATAAATGAGCTAAAAAATATAATCTGAAAATTGTACTGAGCTCAGAAGTTGTGGATTTTAACTGTTAAGAAAAGTGAGGGTTTAGTGCCTGTGATAATGACAGGGAATGGCAGCTGTAATCCCAAAGTCCTGCTTAGACAGGATCAGCATCATGAAAAACTTTTCTACTTTGAGATAAACTTTAATGTCTTGAAGAGGAGTCTCAGCAGCTCCCTAGGAGGACTGTCAGGTTTCCAGGAACCGTCGCTTACCTCCGTAAGGTTCATGCACTTGAGAGGTGACAGTGAAAATGGTACTTAATTTCTGTGCAATCTTCTTTATGTCCCCATCTGTGTTATTCTGGGCACTGGGTGTTATTCTGTGCATGTTGCACTGTGAGGTGGTAAAAATATTCTGCAGCAAAATGACAGGGTTTTAGAAATGGCCCTATCTCCTTACTGAAGAAGAGATGAGTTTCTAGGGTTGGACACTTCCTTCTTGTTTCTCAGTGAAATAACATTTTTTCAGGAACACTACAATACCAGTTAGTTCATTGTACTGTCATAGTCTATTAAAGCCAGATTCAGAAAATCTATTTGTGAAGCTAAATAAGACTTCTGTATCTTCAATAGTTGTCATACAAGTGAGAGAAACAAGGACTGCAACTGAACATTTCCAGAGAGCAGTTTTAGACGGCTGCATGACAAATTCATTAAATGGGCCAACTTGCTGCCATTTCTCAGAACCCCAGTGAACTGTATCCTGTGGTCCAACTCTCAGGTCCATCATCCATAGCGCAGAGAAGGCATCAGAATTAAATGCAGCCATGCTGATTAGCTCCTCTATGGAATCAGGTTGACAATCACTACCACTGCAAAGAACCTTCCAGCATTTAACATAAGACAAGAAAAGAAAAGCAGAACTCACAATTTCATGCTCTCGAGGGACTCTTCGTTCTCTCACATGACTGTATCTGTGCCTCCAGAAAAGCAGCCACTCGCACTCCTTGTACTCTGTGTCAATGCAGGGCGAGAATGTCCCTTTTTAAGCAGTCGTGCAGACATGAGAGGTGTTATGTGCTTCAACTGGCAGCTGATAGAAAGCTGGGCAGGATATGAAAGTGAAAATAAAAGTATAGACTTGGCTGGAATTCTTGCCGTGACAGACTACAAAAATGCAAGTGAAAAGGAGGTACCGGCGAGGCAGGAAAAAACACCTCCCTGGAGAAATATTTAAAGCAAAGGAACATATTCATTTATTGACTCTCTTATTATAAGGGCACTTTTTTTCAAACAAAAGTGGTCATAAACATCTCTGTTTCTTCAGCTCACTCCAGCTCAAAGAATGAGAGTAAATGATTTCAAGCATTCATGTGAGTTGTCTGTATTTGGACTTGTACCCTAAAAGCTCTCATATTTGTCCCTGTTTAAAACTGGAGTGTTTTCCATTTGTTTTTTCTTTTTGATGTGATACCTTTGCTAACCTATAATTTGACAGATTTTTCTAAACTAGGACAAATTTATAAGCAAACAGCCAAAAGCAAGCACACAAAGCTTTAGGTATTAATGAATTATATTATGTGAGAGAAGGGAAAGAATCACTTGTTTATTTATTTTTTTTAAATCACTTTCTAAACAGTCCCTTCGAACACAGCAAAATGGAATCACTCTATATAGGGTGGATTTTTTTTTTAACTATCTCTCTTGGTGAGATCTTTTTTTAAGAGCTGTGTTTTGCTGGCATTTCTGAAGTTAAAATCTATCGACTGCTAGCTTAATATAAAAACTGTTCCTAAACATTACAGTAGTTGTATATAAAAGTAATGCAAGTGTCGGTATGTATTACATTGCAATAGGGTGGCAATACCACCTGCACTCCCTCAAAATATAATTCTCATTCATTTTCTTAATTAGACAAAAATGTGTTCCCTAATTACACAAGGGACATTTTATAGTCATCTAAATGCTACTAGCCACATCAAGGTGTTTATTTATAGTATAAATTACTCTCATATTCTCTTACAATCAAAATGACCCTTTCTAATTTATGCAAGTTTCATTTATAGTGGACACAGGCTGTTTGGCAAGATATTGGCAATTACTCTCTCTAAAGAGCAACTAAATTGTAATTTAGTGTTTTAAATGCGGTGACAAAGAAAGTGAATGCAAACAGTCAAGTGAAAACACATGCATGACTGTAATTTTGAAAATAAAACGGCATAACTGAAAATTCAAACATGACCATCCTGATATGAAGCAACACTTGAACACCAGGAGAGGAAATATTGCCACAGCAGCAAGAGTGAAGAAATGGGAGGAAAGAAGGCCTTTCCAGAGCGCTATGTGTGATGTGAGCATGTATACAAAAAAATAGCAGTTCTAGCAAACACAGATCCCTTTAGGATGTCCCCAACCAATCCAGCTCAGACCCAACTTTTTTTGCTAAATTTTTGCATGCTAAAAGATGGGACTGCACTACACTCTTCTCACTTACTGTCTCAGTATTAGTCCTTTATAAAATAAGGTTGGAAATGGAGACCTTCTCTGATAAGCTGTCAGCTCTGATAAGGCACTATGCTCTAATAAGCGTAATGATTTTAATTTCCTTTAAATGAATTTCAAATTTTTTTAAGAACCTGAACCCAAATATACAGGCAGATGGGGAAGACAGTAATTGCAATTTGAAATGTGTCTCTTCCTATTTTTTTTTTTTTATTATAGTGTTCCTGCTGTCTTCGAATTTTTGCCTGTAAGGCTGAACTACTACACCCTCAGTTATCAATCCCACGAATTCCTGCACAGGAAAATGAAAGAGCTGTTGTTTTCTCCCTCTAGGTGACAGAGTGGATATAAAGAGCTGATAAGGACCTACAGCTTTGGCTCCCTTCTTTCCCAGTGTGGCATCCAGAGGAGCCAGCTCTGGGGAAACAGCCTGCTGCCTCTGAGAAGTCACATCCCAGTCATCCCCCCAGCATTTACCATTACTCCCCGATGTTCAGCAAAGGTGAGCCTTGATTCTAGTGGCCAGCGGCTTAGTATCTTACTACTGAGCCGGAGAGGATAGAGGGGAACTTGTATGATAAGGGTCTTATATAAATCTGTCTGATATATAGTAAGAAGGTGCATTTCTGGAAATTATCATCTTCAGCAAATCATATGCTTATTTGAATTTGGGAACTGTCCTGCACCAGGGCTGTAACTACACAAAACCCAATATTCAAGAGTGAATTACTTCAATGGAGGAGCTGTTGCTGTAATAGAACATGTAATATACTAAACATGTTACTAAGGGGGAATGTGTGCCTCCTGAAAATCCAGGCAACTTTTGCTTCATAGCTGGTATAGCATTATAATCTGTCTTTTTTTTTTTTTGTACTAAATTATACTGTTTCCTAAATTATAGACTCTTCAGATTGCTTATTAAAAACTGGCTTTGCAAAACTACTATTTAATTTCTAGACACATCTGGAGAGACATTAATGTTCTGCCTTTCAGAAGCATGCACAATATTTCTGGCATGTTATAATTTATCAACTATTGCCATTAAGAATGAGCTATTCCAATTTAAAGAGATAGTGTTTCCAAGCAAAAGCATATCAACTGCTAAGTTAGCAAAAACAAAACAAAGGGAAAGGCATTTAATGCATAAAATGAGTAGAAATATGTTTCTGAATCTGTGAAAGAAGTTAACACAGAGAAATGTTCAGCTCCTAGTTGGAGTCATGTGAAGAAGATATAATCTTAAGTGTTTTGTCTAGTACCTTGTGAACAAACACTACCCTATTTAGACAAAATATTTGCAGTATTGCAGCCTAAAAGTTTTCGTAAGAGTATTGCTCTTTAAATTGCATGATAGGAAAATCCTATACATAAAATAATTTTATGAATGAAAAAGCTGCCTAACATCCCAGAAGGAATGTCTTCACTACAGTGGTTCTTTCAAAATATACTTGTGTTATTTCTCTCTGTCTAATCAACCCTGAGTGGAGTGGCCAGACCACAAAGCTCTTTCTCAACAGAAATTCCAGAACAGTGAGTTGAAGAAACAAAATTTTACATCATAATAATGGAACTGAATCCTTGGGGGAGGGGGGTGGATTTCTTTCCTCAAAGCTAACTATTTGTTAAAACATTTTATCAAGATCTCAGTCTCAGTCCATGTAGACAACCCTCTCTGAGGTTAACAGACTGCTTTGTGCTCACTTTCCATTTGTAGTTGAAGCTTTCAGGAGAATTAGATCCTAACAGATATGACAATGAAAATAAGTTTTACTAGAAAGAAATAACATACAAATGAGAGAGATGAAAGAGGAAAGAACACAACTGAGTAATGATGAGTGCATTCCATCAAGATTATTTCCCTGTTTTTTCTCTTTAATACTAAAATACAATAACCATGACATATTTATCAAATTTCTCATCTGATACAACTGTTTTGTAGTTTCATTATGCTGTAATACAGCTGGTCTCTTTAATGCTCAGAGCTTTTTTGACAAAAGTATTAAACACTT